TGTTATAATACATATTATTTTATACAATATTTATTAATATTGAATAAATTTCTACTCTTATTATTTATTTACAGCATGAGGCAATACAGGGAACAATTTGAGCACGAGATTCAGACTATATTTCCCAAAAAATTATGCAAGACAATATATACAATATTAGCAACTTTTATGTTACTGAAAATAAACCAACATACAAAGTTGTTCCACATAATGCTATGATTCAATTTACACGAGCAACATCCTTTACTCCAATTGTGGAAGACGCACCACACATCCCATTTCACAAATTCTACTTCATAGAATTCGACCAGTTGTATCAAAGAATAAACAATACTGAGATATTAACAGGTACTATCTTACTTAACTTATTTTATTATTACTATAAAATTTTTTTCAATATTTATTTACAAAATTTTCCTATTTATATATAATACTAGATGTTATTGGAGTATTAACAAGTGTCCAGGCACTCAAGCATACACATGTTAGCACTAGACCAACAACACGGCGATCCATAACAATACAAAACATCAGGTATAATAATTTCATACTCTTTTCCCTCAAATTTACTATTCATTATAACTATTTAACATGAATACAATTATTCCTCGCTTTTATCGTTCACTTTTATTACTCATTCTTATAAACCACTTTTTGCCTACAGAAATGAACATCTACAGGTAAGCCTATGGGGACATAAAGCCGATCAGTTTGATGAAAATGTCCTTAAAGCATTAAAGGCACCAATTGTGGCTGTTTTCTCATCAATGCTGACAAAGCAGTATCTAGGTATTTTTGACATTATTTTATCTAAACTTCTTTATATACACATATACAATAAAATAGCATACATTTATTATCTACTCTACTATATTTCAAGGTAACTCATATGTTTCAAGTACATCAGCAACGATCTTCTATATTGATCCGGATATCCCAGAAACGACGACATTAAAGACAAGGTAAACATACATGTATAGAAAATATATGCTAATAAATTTATCATATTAAATAATAATACATTTTATTTATACCTTCCTGACCTTATTCATATTTTTATACGTACAGATTTTCCCACTAAAATCAACAAATTGAGTTCCTACCACCTCCAAAAACACCTATCCAAACAGTCGAAGAGCAAATATCGACAAATAGAAGAACAATAGACGAGCTCAAAACAATGGATGCACAAAATTATCTGGTTAGTACTATTAACTTTCCTATCATTTTTTTACTATACTTAGTAAAGAATTTTAACCAAAATTATTATCTCTTTTATACAAGGTGAAAAATTCACTGTAAGAGCAACAATAGTAAACTTCTCGACGTCTCAAGGATGGTTCTACAATTCTTACCCCAGATGTTACCGACAATTAAAACAAACAAGAATAGGTTGGTGGTGCGACAGTCATGGCCATATAAAGTCAACACCCTCTCCATGGTAAATAGATTTATTACCATACCCTTTTCACTTATTACATATATTCATTTGATTTAATAAAAAAATAAAAGACATTACAAAAAATATACATATATATGTATATATATTACAGGTACAGATTAACAATTCAAATTGAAGATCATACTGGAGACATAGAGGTCATCGCTTTTGGCAGAACCGCTCAGGCATTAATAAAAAAACCCTGTTCTGCACTAACAATTGACGAGGGCTTTACTGATCCATTTATAATACCACTAGCTATCGATCAGATCCGAGGACAATCCAAAATCTTCCAGATCTTTTTCCAACAGCGAGGCACCCAAATGAGTACATTAATTTCCAAAATATTTGAAGACATCCATGTTCCATCATCGCCACCAAAACTATTAACTGCAGGAACAGAAGAACCACATAGGTAAATATTGTCTTTAAAATTTTCTAGCAACTATACATATATAATATTTATATTATATTAATAACACCTTTAAAATTTCCGCATCTTTCAGCCCACCAGCTATACCATCTTCCCCGCTATCAACACTAGCCACATTTGATCCACACACTCCAACACCAAAAAAGCCAAGCACAAGGTAAATCACATTCAACACAACAAAGATTATCAATTTATTCAAAAACATATCTACAGATTATTTCATTCTTTCAGTCCTGAATCAAGAATAACAAGACAATCTACAAAACGTCCAAGAACAAGGTACTTTAAATATTTTTATAATACTTATTTCATACTATATATTTTAACCACCTTTACTTCTTTTAACATTTATATTTACAACTGCTTCCCTCATTGTTATGCTTGCAGCTAAAAAAAAAAGAATTGCTGAAGGACTACAACTTCCCTTTTTTTCCCTGTACATTCTGTATATATATAAATATTCTAAATAATAACGCTATATATGTATGCATAAATATCTTTGTACAAATTTTATATCCATCATGTAATACAATGCTATATAATACATGTATATATATAAATATATTTTAAATACAACTGCCATATAATATAACACTGTTTTCCGTAGCAACGCGCGTATCTTACTCGTTATGGTCTAATGGAAAGTACTAAGGTTTTATTACTGCTGCTGCTATTATTATTATTATTATTATTATTGATAACATATCATAGTAAATAGCTCCGTTTTGAAATGTCTAATCTTTATCAGATTTTGCCAATTTTGTATAAAATGAAAAAAAATGTAATGTGACTTGTTGACGAGATCTAACATACGTGCACCGATTATAAAGACTCTTACCTTGGAATTTTTATTTTTATTTTTTATTTTTATTTTTTTTTTTTTATAATCACACTCCAAAATTTCAAATAAAGAATACTATTGTGTATCATCAGTGATTATTACCACTAATGCTAAGCTAATATAAACATTTACATGTCAATTATAGGAACACTACATCATATCAGTCTACCGTACCCTTAAAGTGCTATTACCAATTAATCACATACTCCTTTTTTTTTTTTTTAAATTGGCACAACATATTTTTCTTGGCTCTAAAGAAAGAAAAAGATCGAGATGAAAGAATGGTGAAACATAGGCGTCATGTAAGTTTGTAACCGCATCTTTGATTAGCAAAAAAAAAAAAAAAAAAAAAAAAAAAAAAAAAAAAAAAAAAAGTGTAACCGCAGAAAAAAAAAAAAAAAAAAAAAAAAAAAAAAAGAAAGAAAAGAAAAAGTGTAACCGCAGAATCAAAAAGAAAATCATGTCCAACACTTTGAGAACACGAGACGTGAAGTGGTCGCCACCCTTAGGATTGACTTTTAGCCGACTTCCCGACTGTTATTGGACTCCAACAAACTGAATTCTGGGCCTTTCATTTACTTTAATGGGCCCCACAAAAGAGGGCTCTTAGCATTCACACGACCGTCCACTCGCACGTGTATGAAACGCTCCTCCTTTTGTGGTGAGAAAGTAAAAATCCAAAAGTAAATAACAAAATTAGTTCCACGTTTTTATCCAAGCAGCCTAATTAATATAGAGATTTGCACAATCCAATGGATAATAATCTTGGTTGACATGCAATTCCACGACTGTTTTGTTTTGTCTTTCTTTGAGAAAATTTCTGTGTACGTTCTTTGTCTGTTTGGTGAAATTTTTAGAAACAAACACAATTTTGTTTGAATATGGACTACGTTGCTTAAGAATTTCGTATTTTAAAATGTCTTATATCAGGACACTAGCATAGAACTTGTATTAAAAGTAAAATTTTGACCATATGATAGACTAATAGTAAAAATAGCAATCCGCGTCATATAAGTTAAAAGGAGACAGACGGTTAGCATTAAAAATCGTGAATCAAGTATGTACTAGTAAGATTGATCCTAATATCATGCTAATGATTTTACAGCGACTTAATCAATTAAAATCACAGCTAATGTGGAGATAATGATTTTTTGTTACACGATAATTTTAAATTTAATGTTTGAATAGAATAGGAGCCGTGCCATTTTGTCTCTCACAACCTAAAATGAAGAAAAATATGCTCCTATGCCGTGTTTACGATAAGTTACAACTATGGTACTCAGTGATTAAGAAATTAATTTTATAGGAATTTTATTCAAACGATTACATGATACATGTGATTAAAGATGTTAAAAAACTAAAGACTTGGTGATATATTGATAGAAGATTAGTGGATGAATTTTAAGTTATTTTGAACTCGATTTTGGGTTGTCAATTTGAAATTAATCCTTTTATTTGGTTTCTTAAGAAAGTCTCATTACCAATTAGACGCTTGTAATATTTTTCGTTGTAATTTCGTTTTTATGCTCAATTTATTTTGGTGTAACACTCAATGTAATACGTCCACATCTTAATGTCCAGCCCTCTCTCTCGACGTGGTGCCTTTCCTTCTTCTTTATCAACATTTTATTTATTGTATATAGGAACGATATTATAATAGTGGAAGAAAATGTTACAAGCGTCGAATTGATCATATGGGATTTGAGACTTTGTCTAAATTTTTTTAGTGTATGTCTAAATTCTCTGGATCTTCTATATAATCTCCACTTAATAACATCTTTTTACACCCTATCTCCAACACTTGTCACCCAAAAGTAGAGCGTGAAAATCATGAAATTTTGCCAATTTCACCGGCTGTTCCTGCTCAAAGGTAAACACACAAGCATATAAACACAACAGTGGCAAAAAACGAGCGTGGGAAGCCTAAAGCATGGACTAAGTGTTGGGAGTTCAGAAAACAATGTGGTTAAAATTAAGTAAGAGAGAGAGAGAGAGAGAGAGAAAGCAATTGGGTCGGCTGAAAGAGGAACAATGATACGGACACATTAGCCAATGTCCCCAATTCTTTGTCCCCATGCCCGCCAAGCCCGGGCTCTTCTTCTCCATTCTTTGTCCCTCCAACATATGGACCCCACACAACCCCTCTCTCTCTCTCTCTCTCTCTCTCTCTCTCTCTCTCTCTCTCTCTCTCTCTCTCTCTCTCTCTCTCTCTCTCTCTCTCTCTCTCTCTCTCGATAAATACCCTTTCCCTCTATTCTCACCCACTTTCATAACTCCAAAAAATAAACAATCAAAATCTCTCTCAATCTCTCCACACTCTATATATCTCTCTTTTATAGGATATTGGGGTTGTGTTATTTTTACTTGGGAAATCTTTGTTCGTTGGCTTTTGTTGTTGGGATCACTGTGATATTGCATCATGGAGCTTCAACTGGGTCTTGCTCTTCTTCCAAGCAATTCATCACTTGATCATGTTCAGGGGTTTGATTTGAACAAGGAGGGACTTATAATTGGTTCAAATCATCACCACGAAATAAGGTCCAACAAGAAACCCAGGTTTTGCCAGGCATTTCTGGAGAATAATGATGATGATGATGATGATCATCATCATCAAGATTCACTGCCTAAAACGCTTCCTTTGTTGTGTTGGAACAATCAGCCAAACGAGGGAGACAATGACCCTTATAGAGACCTACACAAGTATTCCACTTTTAGCCTCTCCAAGTACGTATGATCACTTGTTCAAACAAAAAAAAAAAAAAAAAAAGAAGGAAGAAAAAGGAAAAAAAATCATCAAAATATCCATTTTTTTTTGTTATACCTTATATTTATGTGTTGAGTTTTTATTTTATTAATTTTTTGCATGGAATATAGGAATGAGGGAGAAGATGGAGTGGTGGGGTGGCCACCAATAAAGTCAAGGAGGAAGAGACTTTGCTGCAACGTTGGTGATCGATCGGAGATCAATCGTACGGTGGAGAATGGGTGTAGTTGTGGTATGAGGGTATCAAAGTTCATGTACGTGAAGGTGAAGATGGAAGGAATGGCAATAGCAAGAAAGATCGACCTGAGCCTCCATAGTTGTTTTGGGACTCTCACGGACACCTTAATGGACATGTTTGGGAAATGTAAGTGATTTTAAACTTACTGTTAATATGTATATGTGTGTATATATATGTCTATATATATGTATTACATTTTTGAGTTACAAGGTGAAAACAATAATATTCTAAAGTTTTTGTGAAATCAAGTTTTGAAATGGACCTATTCCTAATTTATTCTGTTTTGTGGCTGTTTTGTGAACAGGTCAGGAGGACTCAGGCAATCATAAACTCACTTATCAAGACAGGGAAGGAGATTGGTTACTTGCCCAAGATGTACCTTGGAGGTACATGAATTTCATCTCCATTTTTTTTAAAGCAATGGATTAAGCTAGTGTGAATTGGTTTATTTTGCTTGTGTTATATATGTTTAGAACATTTAATTATCTAGAATTCAAGCCTTAAAAAGAAAAAGAATGGAAAAAATATTCAACACTCAAAAATGTTATTTATTTATTTATTTTTGTGAGAGAATTGACCCCGCTAGACATTTCCCTTTTTATTCAAAAAAATATATTGAATTTGATGGAAATTTACCCCCAATTTTTCTCTTTTTTTTAGCCCCCATTTTTTTGTTTTCGTTGCTTAAGAGAACATATTGAAACGGAATGCTCAGCCAAAAATAACAGCAAGAAAAGCCTATTTTACATGAATTGTCGTACTTATTATGTTTTATGAAGCACATTAGTTTTCTGACTAAACTTTTTTCGATTGTTTATGCAGAACCTTTATAAGGTCTGTTCAACGACTCAAATTGCTGAGGAGGATGTAATCAATCTTTTTTTGTTAATCTCGCTTCTTTGATAGAAATAATTTTTCTTTTTCTTTCTTTTTTCATTTGAATTTGGAAACTGTATGTAAAATATAGGCTATGTAAAACATCCTAATTAGTTGTATAACATATGCACTACCTTGAGTTTACACAAGAGGAGATAATATTAATGTAGTACTTTTATAGTTAGAAAAGCTCAAGTTCTTTTTTTTGTTTTTGTTTTTGTTTTTTTGTGTTATATATGCTCGAGTACTAGCTATTAAAAATAATGATTCGCTTATACTTTAAAAAAAAAAATGTAAAACAATAGAAAATAAAAGACGATTCATCTGATGAAACCTCTAACAACTATTAATTCCTGAAAAGTACCAATCAAACATTAAGAACAAAATTGGTTTCAGTATTCCCGAAGCTACGATATATTATTTATTAATTATGTTAGCGGCATCAGTAATTTTGTACTTGAATGAATTTGCATTAATTTTCCAAATATTTCATATATTTGTTTTTACCTCATATTTTCCAAAATTATAAATTTAAATAAAACATTATATTGTCGAAGAATTTATCCTCTGGGCTCCCATGTCTGAATCAACTGGGGTGGAAATCAGAAACTAGAGAATCTTCAATGTTAAGCAGTAATCTATCTATTACTATATTATAAAGAAGAGTTCCTCTTAGGATACTATTTAAAAATTTGGTCTATCTATTTTCTCTACTTGAGTTTTTTGTCTTCTTCTTTTTCACCTTTATATATCAAACCATTTGTTTGCTACAATTGGCAACTTCTTTTATTTATTTATATAATTCACCAAAAAAATATCTTTTTTTTTTTTTTTTTTTTTTCGATTTCTACATATCAAGTGCCAATAAGTTTTATATGGATTGTTGCAAAACGTTTCGTACGTGAGAAAAAAAATGCGAAACGTTTCGTAAGGGGGTCCCACCATTAGGCTATTTGTTTTTTAAAATTTTTTTGGCTTTTTCTGTCTTTTTTTCTCAGTTTTTGTTTTTATTTTTTATTATCTCTTTTGTCTTCTTCTTTTTCTTTTTTTTAACAATTTATATAACTGTTGTCTCAAGTGAATTACGCGCACAGAGCACACATTTTCTACTAGTAATTGAAAAAATATGACATCCATTTATTTTTTCAAAGGATATACCCCTAATTGTCTTCCATAGTTTTCTGCACCCCGTTTTTTCTCTTTCAGAAATTGTCTCTCTTAATTTGATCTAAAAAGGAGAAAAGAGAGGTTGAAATCTAAAATTTTTTAAGAAATGACTTAAATCTTCTTCTTCTTCTTCATTAAAAATAAATAAATAAATAAGTAAGAGCAATATCACTTTTACATAATTAATATCCAAATATGTGATAGCCACCAATCCTTTGAAGTAAAAAGGCCAAGATAAGGTATAAATTGTGTAGTTCCACATTACCTATAGATGAATATAGGTGATAGTTTACAAGGAAGGACGCCACTTCTTATAGTAGAGGCCTTTTAGGGTAAGCCCAAGAGCAAAATTGTCACGCCCCCCCAAACGGGGTGGGTGACGTGGAGCTCAATTAGAGATTAATAAAGCAAATTTTCAGACCGGGCCTCACACTTAACTGCATTAAAATATAAATAAATTACAGAATCCCGGAGCCTCTGACACACAGGGCTCCACCCCACAGGACATACAGTATCGTACATACATGAACATGTAATTAATCATTACAACAGACATCAACCACAGTCTAGTAAATCCAAATATTATATAAGTTTATAGAATTTCTCAAATTCCTTACATTTGTCCAAAAGGATGTCCACGATCCTCGCTTGATTCCAACAGCAGCACAACTCAGCTGCTTCGTAGCAAATATCCAGCTACTGTGCACCGCTCCAAGAATCTCCTGGGAGGGGTTTAGTACATTTAAAACATAAAACGTGAGCGAAAGGCCCAGTAGGATATAATTTGAAATAAACGTTATAATAAATGTACGAGGGAATACATAAATAAATAAGTAAATAAAATAAGATATTCAGTCTCGACAGAACAGCTGGAACCTCACATCCTTTTTCTCAAAGGAAATATAACCGTAAATAACCGTTTTATAGACTTCAGTAAGTAATTAGTACAAATTACTTACCTAACCAAGTACCTCGCCTACCCGGACTGAGTTTCGGGTTCTGCCCCCGAGGATGCACTCTCCGCATCCTATCTAGGCTTACAGCAATAGACTCTATTATCAGTTCACAAGATCTCTTTGCTTAAGCAATCATTCATTAACATTTTGAAATCGTTAATACGACCCCACGAACTACTCAAGCCGCGGGCCCCATGACTGGACAAGCCATGAGGTTC